TGTGTGAGGATCTCACTGAATGGCCAGGGCGTACCAGCATCATGGGCAACTTTCCTTGGCCTGGACAGTCACCCGTGGAGAGGTGGTCGGCGGTGTATGATTTAAAACATCTAAAGCACCGGCCGGCTCTTTTGAGAACCTCCACCATAGTGTCGCGTAACTGCGACCCGTCAGTGACCATCTTCCCTTCCATGGGATTGCGTATGTCGGCCAGCGGCTCGTAAACACGATCACCTTGGGCCTGCGAGTCATTAGCACGAGAATTTTATTAGCCACTCCCCCTCGACCTTTCGGCCTATTATTCAAAATGGGCTTTCCCCGATTGTCCACTTTCAATGCGTGGTGTTTTTGAATAATCCGATTAGGGGGAAGGCGATTACTCGCACTTGCTTTGCCATTTCGGCCTTCATTTCGACGAGCACCATATGCCTTATATTCTTGTTCATATGTGGGACCAACTTTATACAAATGAGCCCTCAAGCTGGCGTATGTGGTCCACTGCTCATCATCTTTGTTCAGTAAACATTTTCTTTTTATATCTGGACGAAGTCCATTATGTAATGCATGCAACTTGGAAAAGTCATCAAGTTCATTTTCACACTTGAGAAACATTTGTTCCAAGAGCTGCATGTATTTGATTGTATCGGGACCCGAGGTCCCTGCCTTCGTAAAGGCTGCAATTTCAAACCTTATGTCAAAGTCTGAACATTTATGATCACAAAGTGTCTCCATGCCATATTTAAATTGTTCCCATGACAGTTGGAATTTTGGCTGTGAGAGCACTTCTGCATCAATTGTAACCCCCCATAAGTGTCCCAATTGGGCAAGCAGGCCGTGTTTCACTGACTCCTCAAGAGTATTCAGTGCGATCCAACCCCATTGAGATCGGGGTGCCATAGTGGTTTTGAAATACATAATAATCTCTTGCAACCACTTGGTCAATGCTTGCTTATCCTCATTCCACTTTGGGGGTTTCATGCCTTGAGTATTCATCTCAGGCATGCTCACCTGAGGTTCCCTTTCAGGATGTAAATATACAAGGGCGAAGGGCACTCCCTGCGCTGCTGTCAAATACCCCTAGCCCACATATCCGGGCCCCATGGGGTCGTAATCGGCTGGCGGTGGTGGTGGCCCTTCTATGGCCCTTGGCAGCTCCTCAGCCACTGCGGCATACTGTTCCTGATGCTATGGCTCAGGTGCCTGCATGTAGCTTGGCAGGTGCCCATACACTCCCTCGAACTCCTCCGACTCCAACGGATGGGAGAGTTCTCCATATGGTTGTGATGGGACCACTTGCTGCCTTGGGGCGATGGCCGCCTGCTATACCCTTTCGGGCTGATATACCCTTTCGGGCTGTTGATATTGAGGAGCCACTGGTGGCTGCTAATACTGAGGAGCCTGGTAGGTCGCCGGCTCTTGGGCAAAGGGAGACATCTCCTGCAGTCTCTGAATTTTCTGCTGCGTAGTCGGCAGCGGAGGCTGCGCTCCCCGTGGCCCAGACTGGCCCATCGTAAAGGGCATTGCCGGTTGTCTTGGCACCACTCCTGGCTGATGATACGAAAAGACTATGGGTGTGGGGTTCCTGCCCTCTTTGAGCCGCGGACCCGCCTCCCCGGGCACCTAGGTCCTTACGGGGACCTAGGCCGGACCACCCCTCCTACTCCCGTATCCTAATACCTAGAACGGTTACCATGGGTTGAGGATAGTTATCTTGGGCAGGGCGTCCCCCACACCAAGGGTCATGAGTAGGGCGTCCCCCACATCAGGCCAATGCGCGTAACAACGCCAGAGCCTCCGGAAACCAACGGCTGCCGACGGGCCGCAACATCACTCATATAGCACAAAACACAATTGCGTAGGATATCCACTCAGAATTCCTGGCCCTTGCAATATCTAGCAAGCACACACCCCCGGGGGATTTGAAGCACAATAACGTGACTTCACGAGTTGCGAACTCAAGGCATGGTGCTCCACATCGGCCTAAGCACCATTGGTGCCAAGCAGAAGCTTAAGGTATCTCTTGATGCCTAGTTCCTTTGTGAGATGGCCACTCACATGTCGAACACAGCTTCCCCCCTCCCCCTCCCTCCAATTTCTTGCTGGTGGGGATAGCAGTCTCCTTGATCCCTTTAATTGGCCGACATGGAGGGAGCGGGTCCTTGTGTCGACTTTGGGCTCGTTTTGTAATCCCAACAACGTTTCGTGCCTCACAGAACGCCAGCCCTTACGAATTTTATACCCAAGTCTGAAAGAATGGTGTAATTCAGTACACTTGTGTAATCAGTATACACTGGTTGGATTGTACCGGTTGCCTGAGAGCAACACTGCTGAATGGCCCAACTGCTTGCCTTCACAACCATCCAAGTGGCTTATTCACTTCGATGTAATCCTCTTCAATCAATTTAACAGGGGTTATGCCAAAAAATGCAGTTGCACTCAGGTTGATGGGCAAATTCATCACTTGCTGGTTGCGGCACTGAACTGATCAACTTACAGATAGAGTTGAACCTACCCATAGTAAGGCAACAGGCAGACTTTGCGGCCCACCTGCAACACCTTTTTCTCCGCGAACACACCGCTTCAATCAACCTTGGCCTATCGGTTTCAAGAGTTCAATGATATCATGGATTGCAAAGATCGCAATGAACCAAAGTACAATGACGGCAGGATGTCACATGAACCCCCGTAAGTCGGTTGCTGTTCTAGCAAAACATCAACCACCTGCCCACATCGACGGCGAACATAATCCACTTCAGTTGGCCGATTCGATTTTGAAGATTCTGTAGACGTTTACAAATTGCAAACATCGCAGCTGAGACCTTCAAACGGAGTGGCACACGACTTGGCAACACGCTTAAAACGGATTTTGTTTTATCAATGGTAAGGCCCCTCTCCAATATTTGCCCGTTGAAGCCACGCCTCAAAACCCACAATTAATATTGCATGTTGCTCGATTATCGTCGTCGCACAACAGTTGCAATTACAACAAGGTTGTATAAATTGAACAAACTTTCTAAATGCACCGTTGGTGTGGTGGTCCACCGAAACTAGGGCAGAGTTTTCTTCCTTTTCCACGTTCCTTCCAGAAAACTGGGTGCTCTTGAGCAATTCAGCAAAGACAATGGTTACTTCAGGTGCACTAATTTGAGGTGGGCGATGTTTTTCATCAATTATAGCATCTTCATTGGTGGGTACTAATGCACCGGTGGTGCTATTCGGTTATCTGAATAGCAGTGCTTGTCTAAAACCATTATTAACGGCTGGGGGAGCAATAGCACACCAATGCTATTGGGCCCCGACTGGTGCTATTTGGGCACACAGTAGCAACGCTCCAGGCCAAACAGCACCCCAGAAAAGCACCCGGTGCTAATCGCACAGAATTTTCCAGCAGTGCCCCGATGCTATTCGGCGTAGGAATAGCACCTTGAAGTTGCGGATGCACGCAGGGAATAGCGCCGGTGCTATTTGGCAAATGTCACCTAAGTAAGGTGGCACGACTGCCAATGAGAACAGTTCCCGCAGGAACTACACAGCTGTATAGCACCGCCTATCAATGCCACCGACCGATAAATGTGCTCTTACAACCACAGCAAATGCATGGCAGTGGCCCCATTGGGCAGTCCAGCGGACAGTGTTTCCATTTCAAGGTGAATCCTGGCGGGGTTGCTGCATCCCCAAAACTACGCCGTGGAGATGTCTGAAAATATCTTCTCATCGCACCTGCCGACCCTGAAGTGGTCGTGCGAGGGGAAGCAATACAGCACTGAAATGGGCCCACCAACCACCGTTCATCTCCTGAGAAGAGGCGGCACGTCTGTAGGCAGGTCCTCGGTGGAGCAGCGTCGCCCACCCGCGTCCAAAGATTTTATTCCCAGGCTCACCCCCGCCGAAATCTGCAAACGCAGTTTTGTGCCCACCCGGACTCGGGGCCCGGACCCAAGAGCACAAAACTGCATCCCAGCGTTCGGCGGCGCACACTGACGACAATGACAGTCCCCCCCTCGACAAGGGTGTTCGATTGACGGCGCACGATCAGTCCAGGGGCCTCGGCAAGGCGCCATCTGGCGTGAAACTTGCGCAAGTCAACAGAATCTCAGACTCTCTTGTGCATGGCAAAAGCCATGGTAGAAATTCAGGTTCCATAGGCCCAAGCATGTCCCAATCGCAGCAACAGATGGACCCCAGCGCTTGTCGTCACCCCTGTCGCTGATCTTCATGGCCGCCCATACTTCTTGCCACCCAAACCACCAGTAGAAAACAGCCTGTTTGCGCTGCCAATTGTGACGCCATTGGACACAAATTGATGCCATCGCAGCCACTTTTATGCTATCGCAATCACTGTGACGGCATCACTTTGTGTCGAAATGGCATCACAGCCGGCATTGCAAACTTGCCGTTTCCTGCCAGTGAACCCGGCTTGGGGCCAGCTTCCCCTCCCACAATTCGGCCACGGAAAGTCAGCCACCATGTGGTTGTAGCTCCACCCGATACTGTCTGCGACAAGGCGGATCGAACTGCGACAAGGATGCGATTCTCCCAACAGGCCCGGACTGCACTGGTACTGCTTGCTTTCCGAGCGGATCACCACAAAACAGTGTCACGCGTCATTGACGGAACAGCGCAGCGACTGTCCAAGGACGCATAAACGGCTCAGGCTGTTTGGGCAGCGCGGGCCAGGGCGCCGCCCGGCGAAGGACCGCTCCAGAGGCTTTGAGCTGCGCGCTTGGGCATTTAAGGCATCCGCCGATGTCCGCCCTGGACAATGTCCAGAGTCCGCAGACGCCCGTCGCGTTGGCAGGTGTGAGGAACCGCTCACATGACTCACCGGGTCAAGCCCCGCCCCGTTGGGCGTCATAACGCGATTTGGAAAAAAATCGATCTTGTGTGTGCGGAACGTGCAGAACCTGTGGCGCACCGGGGCCTCCAAACACACACACACACCGCGTCCCCCAACCGCCCATCACCCCCCCCGGCGAGGGAGACCCAACACCGAGCAAGCCATGCGGCGTGCCTGGGCTCAGCACGCCTGGGCGGCGGCCCTCCTGCTGCTGCTCCTCCCCGGGGCGGCGCAGGGAGACAGGCTGGACGACCTTATCGCCAGCGTGGAGGACGTGGTGGACGAGATTGCGGGCCAGGCGGAGGAGGCGTTCAAGAGGCGCTTCCCGACGGTGCTGGCCTGCGAGTGCTCGCGCCACGCGTGCGACGGGGAGTTCGACTTCAGCGACACGTGTCACGAGGAGCTCGGGGATTCGGAGCTGTGCGGGGAGTGCGCGGGGCAGAAGGTGCGATGCTCGCAGGGGCAAGGGGCCGGAAAATTACCAGCACCAGTTGTGTCCACCGCATTCACGCTATGTCAATCGATGGGACCGGTCGCGGGGCGCGTTGGGCCCGACTTGATGCTGCGATTCGCGCAATTGTGGATAAAGAGTGATGGGAGAATTTTGTGTGGGTATGATTTGGCGTCGCGCGGGGCCTTGAAAGAGCTGTTGACGGAGAGATCCCTGGCGGCTGCACGCTTGCCGCGTTAGGAGGCAGCCTCGCGCGCCCCCCTCGCTCGCTTGCTACTGGCCGTCGGCCGGGCGCGCCGCAAGCACGCCGTAAGGTCCGCGGGGTTAACACGACATGCATCGTGGGTCTGGGGCGAGGTGTTCCAAAGTACAGGCGCAGAATTAATGCGTCGCTGCGCTGCGGGCCTTGCACAGGGGTGACCGCTGGTGAGGGTTGCGTCTTGCAATTGCCGACCAATTGCGTCGAAAAGCGGATGTAACCGCCAGTACGTGTGAGAAGATGTTCCACGCAGGAAGGGTGAATCTGATGAATGACGACATTTGAATCGACGAAAATTTTCAAGAGTCACAAAACGCTACGGAGGCGGCGCTATCGCATCTTTGAATCGATCACTGTCTGAAAAGTCGTCTCTAAATCGTTGAAATTTGAGTAGGAGCTGGGTACAACGGAAAACGTGGATGCTTGAGGGCTGGGAGTTGCCGTTGCTGGCTGAATTCACCCCAACGGTCTGCCCAACGCAGCATGCTTGCTCTCATGCAGATCGCTACTCTAGCGTGCAATGCAACCATTGCCAAAGACAGAAGTATGGGCCGCATGCAATTGGCAACCCTCCTGAACCAACCATTTCGATACTGTTGCACTCGTATTGAACTTCATGTCGTGCCCTTTTTGCGCAACGTCATTTGGGAGTGCATGGGTGCAAAAGAAATAGTCACACAATGATGAACTATATTGTAGCGAACGGGAAAAAAACTTGCATTTCTAAAAGGAACACACACCTCCTAACAGCTGCAAAGGCTGTGGCTTCCAGTTTTGGGGCATCTGTTCAAGATGAACGCATGGGAAACGTTGAGAAACTGGAGTGTGCATTGTCTCTAAACTGCCACTGCAACAAGCCATACCTGACACGCCCATCCTCTGTGTTGAAGCTCGACTTCAACAACAGTTTCGTGCTGACGCCGCCAGGAACGGACCCATTGAATATGGGCGCTGATCTGAAGGATGCCGTTTGCACATATAAGGTAGGGGGCAGAATCGTTCGCAGGATTGTCTACATCGCATGTGGTGTTTGTTGTGGCAAGAATTGTGAGGTGCTTGTAAGGCGCTTGTGAGCTGCTGCTGTTTGCTTATCTGAGTTCGACACAGGCCCATGCATGCCTGGAACAACACAGTGCAGTGAGCCTGTGTACACCTGCATCTTTTCCATCTATCATCTCCACCATCATTGGACAAGATTGTCCGATGATGGTAGAATCAATAGACAGAAAAGATTTGTAAAGGCCACGCGTACCTCCTGCTTGGAAGTCCATGGCGCTGTTTACTCCTTAGTCCCTCACTGCCTATGCACCTGCCCTCACTTCTGTCTTCTGCGGAACTGCTCTTATTGACGTGAATGGTCAGAAGACAGATGTATGTCACAAATGCTTGCAAGTCCAGATGTGTGCTCAATGGTGAGGGGCATCTGAAAACTGGAGACTGGTGCAAAACCCAAGGAAAGCAATGCTTCCATGCAAACCCATACTGGGCACCCTGCCATGTCTGTTTTCTGGACTCACAGGCTGTGCATGATCTGCTTAGGTGCTGGATGAGGTGTTCCAAGATGTGGAGAACGACCTAGGTATTAGGGCTTGGAGCTACGTGGCCAGCAGCTCTGGTATCATGAGGTGGGTTTTGTGCCTTGAAGGTTGGCCTTCGACTTGGATTTGGCGATGGATGGGAAGCACTGTAGGACATGTTGGTGTTATGATGCTAAACTGACAGGGTGGACCAGGGCGATTACAGCTCTACATTTTGTTGAAGTTTCAAGATCCATTCATTTCCTCCAACTACCTGCTCTCAGATGCCTGCTGTCCGTCTTGAGCTGCTTGCTGTATGTTAAGCCCTGTGCAATGGATGCACTCAGCAACATGGAATTAAGCAGCCTGTAAAGCCGCTAAGAAATTGCCCATTTTGTTGATCAGGAACTGGCCAGGCCATGCCATGGAACGTGGAGAGGATGTTGCCAAAGGGGAGGGAGAAGAGGAGCTGGGAAACTGCCAGTCCTATGATCCAGTAAGGCAGCATTTCCAAGCTTGTCAGTGTCTGCTAACCATTGTGCATGCATGTCTGGCCTCTGGCAACGTGCAGCATAAACTTTGTGAGCCATTGACCCAAGTCTCTTTCTGCTTGGTGCCCACAGAGAGTGCGACCATGGTATGCTGCAGCAACCAGCGGGCCAAAAGACGTGGTACTGGTGATCGACACATCAGGTGGGCTTCCCGTGCAATGCAAGACGTGTCAAGCACACTGCACAAAAAGGATTGTGTCACCATTCACAAACATTACTGCATCTTGTGATGCACTACAATGTATACTAGCTGCGACTATGCTGGTGGTTGGGATTGTTGGCTTCTCTCCAACAGGGGGTGTTGTCAGTTGGGAATGAAGCTTGTTCAGTGAAAAAGGCTGTTTCCAGATCTGTTTCTTTGCATCCAGATCTGTGTTGCAATCATGCAGGTCGCAACCATCCAGCCTGCTCCAGGCCTCTTCATTGTAGTGGTTGCTTTTGAAATGCCTGAGAAGTCGGACAAACAATTTCTATGGGAATACCTTGCCTGGGCCAGTGCTTTCAGGTCAGGCATGTGTATCTGAAGGGAACCTGATAACAAGGACATCTCAAGGCCCAAGTATCACAACATCCACTCTATATTTCAAACCTGATGTGTCGCCTTGGATTGTTTTGGCATGTGCAGCTGCAACAGATCCTAACCAGCACAGGTGCAAGGGCAATGCTTGTCATTTGATGACGGGTACAATCAATGCAGGTTTCAGCTCAGAAAGATTGTCCTTTCCTGGATTAGAGGAATGCAAAGCAGCAGAGGTACATGGAGATGCAACACGAAACCCAGCACACAGGTAGTGGTCTGGCAGGCGCTAATGCCATCCAGGATGGAAGCTGCCAGGCTAGAGATAATGCAATTTCAGAACTTGGGCTCACCATTAGATGTGTTCTGCAGATGAGCTGTGTTCATCCATAGACATTGGTAGTTCTCCCACTATTTGATGTCCAACTGGCTTGTGTGAGCAATGAAAAGGTGAAGCCACAGTGGCAATGCGAAAATATGTGCCCTCAGTGGTGCAAAGACTTCCGGACGACAAGAAAGGGACACTGTGCAGAGTCACAAGAATAGCTGGTTTCAATTCGTAGTGTGGATGCTTTCAGCCCTGGTTGATGAAGACATCTGAATGTGTTGTCTCTCTGCATTTGCAGGGAGCATGAATACCATTGAAAATGGGAGCAAAGGGTTTGCCACACGGTGGGTTGTGGCACGAGATGCACTTCTTAAGCTGCTGGAAACATTTGGCATTTCAGACTACGTGAACTTGGTGGAGTTCAATGATGGGGTCAAGAGCATAATTCCTGGGAAGCTGATCCAGGCCACAGAGGGCAATTTGGAGGAGTTGAAGACTGAATTGCTCGGTGTGCGTCCCACGGGGGCGACTGATTTTCGGCTTGGCCTGGAGTCTGCCTTCAATTTGCTTATTAACGCAACACTGAGGAGCTTCAATAATGAGGAACTTACAAGCTCGAACTGTCAAAAGGTGACGATTGATGTGCTGTTTCGATGTGTGGATGGCGAGGACCGATTGAAATTTCCACATTTGTTCCATGCCCTGTTGTCATCAAATAACATTGCCAGTGATATTTTACTGCACAATGTCAGCCATGAATTCTGCATTGATTCCAGATGTTGAAACGTCCCAAAAGCAGACCAGGAGTTATCAAGACAGTGGGGTACACACTCATCAGCGCAATGGTGGTCAATTTTGCTGACACAACAGTCCATGTGCGAAAACACTTGCTGCAGCCTTGGTTGCTCCGTTCTGCACTTTGCACCGTGCATGAGTGCTGTTCAACAAAATGACCATTTTCTGTACGTTGTGCACTGGCCCAAAAGGTACTACAGGTATACTGGTGTCGTTGCCATCATTTCAAACTCTGGTGGCAGTCAAGGTTCTCAAAGTCCAGCACAATTCCAACATCGTACCTATTTCGCTGTCCTGTTCATTTCATAAGAGAAAAACGTCCTTGTGGAATCAATCAAAAATGTTTCCTTTGCACTGAGAGTGGCGACTGCCAAAACCACGGCTCTTGGTGCTGACGGATCGAGCCAATGGCAGAGAGTGCTGTTGCAGCAACAAAATCTCTCAATGGCTTCAGCGCCGTCTCTTGCATCAGTGAGAAAGAGTCTCCATGGCATTGCTCAGAACAGAGGCACCCATTGATAGCCCATGACCTTCTGCAAAAATGAAGAATGCAGTAGCACTTTATTCGCTTGTTTTGTAATGCCTAGAGCAGCCACAGACCGTCGATTGCTGTGTCAGGTGATACTTTTTATGACGGATGGTGAAGATTGCACGCTCAGTGGAAAGAATTGCTCAATGCCGATTCCAGCAAACACGACGCCAGTGGATGCCGTGCTCGAATTCATAGAGAAGAAACAGCAGGAACTGGAAGCCGTAAATAGCCAGAGGGCGCACATTTTCTCGTTTTCGTTCGGGTCAGAAGCAGATGATGAGATTCCGAAGGAAATGGCATGCCTGAACGAAGGCATCTGGCACCGAATTCTGGGTAAGACAATGTGTGTTGCTGGCAAGTGAACTTGTGTCGCTGATGCCATTGGCTGATTGTGGGCGTTGTTGGATCAAGCTGAAGCTCGGGCCCCATGGGCTAGTGCATCCCTCACATGAGCGATGTTGGTTGACCAGTTGACTGATGGGTTGATTGGTTGTGTGATTCATCGACTCGTAGAAGACCCCTATTGTCTGTGGACATGCTTCCGATTTTGCAATATCATTGCAACTGATGCTGAGGTGGGAAATCTGACAGTGCATCAGTACACTTTGTGCATTGAGCTTCAATTTGGATGGCTCCTCCAAGGTAGTGGGAAGGCATCTGCCCCCCTTGTGATCGGCGACTAGATGTAACCAGAGGTCATGCAAGTGATGACAAATGATGTCACCATGATGTACTGCGATCAGCCACTGAATATGACCAGCATGCACAAGCGTCCTGCCGTCACAGGAACTCAAGAATGACTGGCACACTTGTTCATACACACGTTGTTGGATTTTTCCAGCTGGTGAAGACCCCCTTGTGGACATGAACGCCTACACGTCCTACCTGGCGTCCGACAGGCGAGGAGCCAAAGTCATCTGGTCCCGCGTCTATGATGACGCCTTCGGGCTAGGAAAAGTAGTGACGGCCGCAAGGCCCATCTACGCCCCGGAGACGTCTGTGGGAGAGCCCGGGGGCTTGGTGGGCGTGGTGGGCCACGACGTCAGGCTGGAAGACTTCCAGGAGGCCTCGCCCGACTTCTTAACCACCATCAAGCGATTCATTTCTCGAGGCATCCAGTGCATCAATATCGAATTCTCTGGCTGCCAGCTGCAGGTGCGGCGAAATTCACAAGACTAGGGAATGAGAACATGAAAGCGTGTATTTGCTTGATGAAATTGAGCATGAGTAATGTAAACTGCGTAGACAGACAGACAGACGGGCGATGCACGCCTGGCTCCTTGGTTTTCCACCATTCCCACTGCACGGTCCCAGATAGTCAGATTGATTTTCACCTATTTCTTTGGTCATTCTTGCAACAGTGGCCATGCATCCCATTCAAATGCGCTTAGCGTTTTCGTTAGAGACCCACCCTCCGGCTTGGTCACGAATCACCTGTCCAGTGTAATGGTAGTCATTATGGTGTGTCATGAACACGGTCATATCTGATCATGCTGGACTTCTGCGTTAGTTGCTGCGGGGAGAGGAAGCACAGTGCCCCGAGACCTTCGAGGAGGCCGCTTGCTACTTCTTTGAGGACACAGGCGACTACTACACGGCGCCCAAGCTGCCGCTGCTTGACTTCGACGCAGCAGAGACTTATTGCCAGGAGCGAGGAGGCAGCCTGGCAGAGGTATTTGCGCTGCTGCTCTTACGCATTACATGGTGCATCAACACTCAAACGAGCTGTGTCTCTAGCCCATGCTGGCGGATCCCCAAACAGTCCTCAGCCACGAAACGCATCCCCTGAATGAGGGCCATGTCATCCACCCAGACGTCTGTGCGCGCGAATCCTTGTGCTCATTTAGAAAAACCTCAGAGCCCTGTCCTCGCATCTGCGCGGCCATGCCGGGCAGATGTCCTCATGCAGAATGCCAAGATGCTTCCCCAATGACGGGATGCGCGAACCAGCGTCCAGAATTGAATGTGTGTTCGCATCCGCTGACATTCACTCGCATTTCCTGCTGGAGGTGGACGAGAGACTTGAGGAAGAGTTCCTTGCGGGGCTGGCCTCCAACGGCGGCTCTTGGGTGGGCCTGACCCGCAAGGCGTCGGGAGCGTGGGTCTGGAAGAACAGCGGGGCCCAGGAGCCGCCGGATTCTGTAGTTTGGACGTTTCTGAACAATCTCACCGATCCTGAAAGGGCGTGTGCCACCATCGACCGGCGCGGAGTGCACAGCAACGTGCATCCGGAGAACTGTGCGACGAAAACAAGGTTCATTTGTGAGTTCGACGGACCCGACCCTCCCGGCGAATGTGAGGTGGGGCCCGCCGCTGACGACGGATGTCCAAGACCTGCACGGTTGCCATCGCGCGGTCGTCCCCGTCTTGTCGCATGTCTCATCGTACATGCTCGATACCGGTTGCCGACGATATGGTCGCGAATGTATCCGCTTCGCTGTTCAAACAAACGTGTCGTAATCTTGATGTCGTGCAAAGACGCGTGCATATGGGCTTCTGATGCCCATGTCATGGTGTTAGAGGTGAAACGGGGGCCTGCGTTCCCACTCGAGTTTGTCTGTGTGCGCAAGACTTCTGTTGCAACCAAGGGCGCAGGATAGGCAACGCCTAATGCCCTGAAAGTCAGCAGCCTAATTAAAGAATGACCCGTTGATCTACCTTGTGTCAACGCACAACATGTTGGCGTGCAGTGCTGTTCCAAGCATTGCATGCATACTACTAACACCAGCAGTGTTGTGCTAGTAACATCAGCATGTGTTGTGCCTCCATCCCGTACTAGTGCATTTCCAACTGGGTCCACAACCTTGAAAGCGTGTGCTTGGCCCTAACCAATGTTGCCAAATCTTGACGCGCATACTTTCTGCAAATCAGGGGGAGGAGATCATCAGGGTTGACAAGGACTACGAGTACACTGTGCGGCCGGTGTCGACGTGCCGCCCAGAGGAAGAGGCGCTGCGCGACGCAACAGTTGTTTCCCCCGGTGCCGAGCAGCTTCCCGATAGCCGGGTGATATGCCCGATCACAATGAACGGCAGCACCACATTCGATGTGAGGTGTTGCGACGACTGCCAGCCCTGATTGCAGGACAGGAATGAAGGGATGAACGAGGTGGTGAAATTCTGGGAAATTTTCTGTGCTGGGTTGCAGTGCTTAAATGATGTGGCGGCCTGGGGCCAGATGGCGGCATTGCATCGTGTTGGGACGAAGCCCCGCAGGTTCTGCAGTGACCATTGCTGCGTTGTACATCGCACTTCACGAAATTTTGGAAGGAATCTTCGATGAGCGTTTCTCAGCGCGTGTTGACACTCATCCCTGATTTTCCATTCCCAAGTGGTTGCCGCATTTCGTGTTTGCCCCTCTGTCTTTGCCAGGCCACCATCGGCGAGTCTGCCAAGCACTGCAGTGGTTGTGTTCCACCTGCTTCTATATGGGTTAGTGTCGCTGGGAAGTGTGTGGTCGCAGATCGACCCCTCCGTGAGTGCCCCTCCACATGTTGAAGCAGGTGACAATACATGCACAAATATTGCAACCCCGTTCTCACGAATGAAGCCCCGATGTCTCAGTACAATGGAAGCGACTGCTGTGACCTACCACATCCCGTTGTGGGGGCCTGATGCAAGAAACCACGACCGCAGGAACACTCAACGCCTGACGCAGCGTGGATGCATTCCCGACAGCGTAGTTTCTCGGCATCACTGCCTTGATCCCCGGCTTTCTTGACCCTTGGCTCTGCGCCCCTCTATCCTTGCCTCTAAGCTGACGATAGAATGGGCACTTGGCTTCACTGGGTGCTGACAAAGACATGATGCCGGGAGGTGTCGAGGGAGATCGGATTGTGGGCTGCCGACACGCTTCGACTTCAATGCGGAGCAAAGACAACGACGAAGTTCGATTCCGCGCTTGAGATGCTTGTGGCGTCTCCGGACACTAGGGCGCACGGCTCATGGACATCCAACAAACGCACGCAGACGCTGCAATCTGATGCTGCAAGGTCGGTCGATGGTGTGCAATCCTTGCCTCCCGCCACATCGTACGCCAACAGGCTCACTGGCAACTTCCCGTGGCAACAATTGTCAGCAGACGCAAATCTTGTCGCAGATGATGCGAACTGCGAATATTGCCTTACATTGCATTGGTGACACAAAGGAGCAGTTACAATAGTGCGCGTGTGGCCGCAGCTCACCCTATGGCGCGTGCGCACGTGTTATGCGCACGTTGGCCACTGGAATTGAAGATAGACAACATACAAAACACGAGAGAAACTGAGTCGTTACCCCCAAAATACAGTCAACACAGGCAGCCTCCTCATCCATCAAGTATGCCGGGAGGCAGAGCTTGGTCTCCCAGCCTACACCAACCCCCCGCCCCACCCTATTTCAACCCCAAATTCCAGTGCAGAATCCCTGGCAAGGTGAACTGCAGCAACTACCTCACGCGAACAACGTGAATTGAATCATGCCTGTCATTGGTTGGGAAGTGCAAGGCGGCGAGTCGTCACAATTGGACAAACGCAATCACCGGTTGCGTCTCTCCCTGGTGGCGGTGACCATCACAGGCGGGCTCTCTCAAGCCGGGGCTGCAGGCTGCAACTCGGTGACGAGAGAGCTCCACGCCCTTGCTGTCTCGCTCGCCAGCTGCGCCTGAGACAGGGCGAAGTCCCTCAGCACCTGCGACATCTCCACGGCCCGCTCCTTCTGGAATCTCGCAAGCTCCTCGTTCATGCGCTCCACAATTGTCTCGTAGGCAGCCTTGGCGTTCTTCAGCCTCAGGTCCGCCTGGTCTCGCTCACGTTCTGCCTCCAACACCTGCGTGCATTTGACATTGACGCATATTTGACGGCGTCGACCACACTCGCCACGAGGCTGCAAAGGTCGTGCCCAGAACGAGATATGAGTGTATTTCTGGATCATTGGAGTGTGAAGAAATGAACATACTTTCTCAAATGAACAGCGCTGACGGCATGCAGGTCACCATCGTCTTTTGCTCGTGCATGGATAGTGCTTGTCATGCATTGGAGAATGTGATCCGTAGATTGAACTCTAAACAGATTGTTCAACTTCCGCACCTTCTCCTCCTTGATCCCTGGTGTGCCCCTCAGCTTGTTCATCTTCACACGCTTAGCGTCCAAGTCCGCCTTGGCCTGTTGGAGGATGGACAGCGCGTTGGTGCGGTCCACCATCACCGCCCGCACTGACTTCATCATGCGGGTGAACTCCTTTAGAGGCGCCTCGAACTGGAAGGACAGGGCGTTGGCACTGTCACGTGAAACGGTGGACAGGTCGCCTGTTGGGCACCGCACAAGCCTGGATCAGCCAAGGTGCAATGGTTGTTGCAGCACATAGCCAACTCTGCAATGTAGTACATCAGTGGCTGGAGCTCTGATTATCTAAGCCAGCGAGCTTTGGAGCGAGGTGTCAAGTTGATCGGTGGCAAATGAACAATTGGGGATTCTGGAACAAACACTGTGGGTTGCGCACTGCACCTGATCGCCACAACGCGCAGGCGCTTCACAATTTCCTCACAAAAGTAATGAAAGAATCGACATCTTGACGATTGACAGACAAAGGAGCCAATGGCAAAGCCTTGTGACTGACTCAGAACAAAACAAGAGCATGCCAGCCAATCAAATCCAACACAACAGGGTACATGCGATCCAGGCAACAACTCAACCCCAGTTGTTTGGCATCCGCCTCTTGGACAATGCAGACACTGCAGACTGATATCTTCATTCCACACACATCTTGCTGCTCTTGATCCGCCACTCCCATTGCAGGCAAACCCATACCATCATTCCACACACATCTGCCAATAGTTTGGGTGCCATCTGCGGCTGCCACTGGACGCTGTCCCACCTG